AAAGTTTAAATCAGCTGTTTTAAGTATATTCCAAAAAATAAAGGAACCCATGTATAAAGACTTAAAGTAAGAAAACAATGTCTCCGGGCGCCTGGGTGGCTCAGTCAGTTGAGCGTCTGACTTTGGCTCAGGTCATGATCTCACAGTTCATGAGTTCGAGCCCCATATCGGGCTCTGTGCTGACAGCTCAGGGCCTGGAGCCTGCTTCATACATATTATGTGTCTCCCTCTCTCTGCTCCTCCCCTGCTCACACTCTGTCTCTCTCTCAAAAATAAATAAAGATTTTTAAAAAACTAAAAAAAAAAAAAAAGTCTCATAGAGAATATCCAACAAAAAGATGGAAATTATAAAAAGAAAATAGAAATTCTGGAGTTGAAAAGTACAATAACTGAAATGAAAAACTGGCAAATTTGCATCAGCAAATTTGAAGATGAGTCAATTGAAATGATTTAATCCGAGAAGCAGAAGGAAAAAATAATAAAAAATGAACTGAGCAATTGAGAGACTAATGGGACATTATCAGGTCTTCCAGCATACACGAAATGGGAGTCCCAGGAGAAGAAAGGAGCAGGCGGAAAGAATATGTGAAGAAATAATGGCTGACATCTCTCTAAATTTGATGAAAAATTTAAATCTGCACGTTGAAGAATCTCAGCGAATTCCAAGTAGGATAGACTCTAAGTAATCCAAATCCTGACACATCATAGTCAAAACCCAAAGACATCATGAAAACAGCAGGGGAAAAGTGAATCTTCATATACAAGGGATCCTCAATACTATTAGCACCTGACTTCTCTCCGAAACCATGTCATCTCACTGCTCTCTGTGGCCAGGTTGGCAAGCATTTACTGGACATGATTAGCTCTGACAGACTCTGTTGGGTTTGTGTGCCTCTCTGCTTTTCAAGGCCTGTGTGTCCGGTTTTCTGTGACACAGCTTTTCCTTGTAGGGATGACATGCCTTATAATGACCCTCTTTGTGACAACAGACATGCTCAGACTGGCTGTGCTAAATCATTTCAACAGTGTCTGGATCTATAGATATCGGAGAGTCAAAAGCCTCTTAAGATACCCCACGCAGCAGGGTAAAACTCATTATGACTTCTTTTGCATGTAGTGATACACAGGTGAGCTACTGAACTGCATGTGAGATGCTGTAGTTCTTATGTGGTTTCCTTTTTCCTATTGTGTGCAAGTCTTTTATTTGGCTGGGTTGGTTACCTAGGAAACAGCTGCAGGGTAAAGATGGATTGGCTGTTTGGGAAATAGAATCACAGGCCCCTTAAAGAAGCAAAGGACCTATTGGATAAAACAAAAATTAGTGAATGGCTGAGCTTGTGGTTAATTATTAATTAGTGTGCCTTAGGAAGTCACATTGAGCAAGACAAGGTCTACAGAAGAACCTATTTAATCCTGCATGATTTTAACTTTAGCTTGTTTTTAATTCTTTCAAGCTCACCAAATGCTTATTAAGTCCTGCTTTGTGCCCACTGCTACAGGCCATTCCAGGGGGTTTCCAATGAAGTAGAAGGTTCAGTTCTCTCCTGAAAGGCCCATTTTCTGTTTGAGGTAAAAAAAGAAGCTACAGGGGCGCCTGGGTGGCGCAGTCGGTTAAGCGTCCGACTTCAGCCAGGTCACGATCTCGCGGTCCGTGAGTTCGAGCCCCGCGTCAGGCTCTGGGCTGATGGCTCGGAGCCTGGAGCCTGTTTCCGATTCTGTGTCTCCCTCTGTCTCTGCCCCTCCCCCGTTCATGCTCTGTCTCTCTCTGTCCCAAAAATAAATAAACTTTGAAAAAAAAAATTATTTAAAAAAAAAGAAGCTACCTTAAAATCAAGTGCATGATTGTGTGACACAGACTAAATGTGCCCAGAGAATTTGGAGGATGTAAAAGGTTTTGGCTAGTCAACATGAGAGATGGATTTGAATCTACAAACAGGAGATAATTCTTTGAGGTAAAAGATGAAATTTAAAGACCTGGTGTGAGTTTGGGCACAACAGTACCTGAATTTACAAGATGTAATAGCAGCAGCACAGTTAACCTTTGCAGATCCCTCTCCCCAGACAGCTTACGGAAAATATGTGACTATGATAGAAGTTATGTTGACCTAGAGTCTTACTCAAGAGAAAGAATTATAGCAGCAATGTCGACTCTTTGTACTAGCCCTCCTATAATTTATTTAAGGAAAGTCTGTTTTCACTAAAAGTGTGACAGAGTATTGGTTTTTAGAATCTCTGACCATACAGCAATGCTGGGCACATAGACATTCAATAAAATTTTTGTGAATTGATGTACTTATATACAGCATATCTCAGCTAGCTTTAGCATTCTTTTCTTCCAGAATGTAGCTGCTGAGTATTTGGTCTTGATGTGTGGTAGTAAGGACCTTTGTAAATATAGGAGTATAACTCTGCTTTTAAAACTGAACATGTGTCAGATTATTTCCATTTGGTTTGTAGCAGGGACAGCTCTCATTTTCATTGTCTTACTCGTTCTGTTTGTAGTCATTTGATGTGGTATGCCAGTCAGTAGAAGAAGCAAGAGCAGTCCCCCTCAGAAAGCTTAACAATCTACAGGCACAGGAAGTTACATTGAATTTGAGCCCTAACGCTCTTTGCCATATCTATAAACGGGAGGTAAGAGGTAGCATAAGAATACTCAGAAATATTTTGAAGGAAAGACAGTTTAGTTACTGGACCTACAATTTTAAATATTTGTCAGCAACAAGTAATTATCAAATGTAAATCTAAGTTCATTAGTTATATAGAACTTTCTTTGTATTTTAAATGAAGTTGTGAAGAAAGTTACTGCTGTAATCAGAATCCACAGTATTGGATTTTCAGAGGATTTTTCATTACCTGTTGTCTATTCTTAGAGCAATTACAGTTTTATAAATGGGATAGTGACCATAAAGGGTAATTTGTTAGAAGTCTTTTGGTGAATGATCAAGAGTAGTTTCCTGTTCATTCTTGAGCATTCTGTGAATCCCTTCTTTATTTCCAAAATTATAATAAAATGCTTTATCATAAGACAAGCTCTATCCCCCAAGTTTTCTTTTCAACGAAACTTTTTACAGTTTCAATTTAAAAACAATTACGCAACTTCCTGGTACCTACTCACCCTATGCTCTCCCTTTTTCTGGTTTAAGCAATTTCAAGGTTAGCAATTAAGTGTCAAAAACTTTTAACTGATTTACTTCTCTTAGACCTACTAAGTCACTGAGCTCCAAGCAGCACCTAGAAAGGATAGTGTGTGGAATTATTATAAAGGTTTGCTCACTTTCTATTCCCCTCCCAACCCCCATATGTCTCCATTCTGCCGGAGACAATCCCAAATTATAGTGCTGTTTACCTATGTGGAGATCACAAGATGGGCCTAATTATTGGATGATTTGACAGAAAAGGGTACAGCTTCTCTGAGTGCTCTTCTTCCACTCTACCAAAAGAGTTATAGTCAGAATTAGCATTGAGGGTACGGGGACTACAACTCAGTTTTCAGAAAACTGATTTTTCGCTTCATTTTCTTTGAACACTTTGGTTTATTTCTAAAAATATATCAATGGCAAAACACAGGTTGCAGGGGCGCCGGGTGGCTCAGTCAGTTGAGTGTCTGACTCTTGATTTCGTCTCCAGTTGGCTCAGGTTGTGACCCGGGGTCGTGGGATTGAGCCCCGAGTCAGACTCCACACTGAGCATGCAGCCTGCTTAATAGCCTGCCTCTCTCTCTCTCTCCCTCTGTCCTTCTCTCTCTCTCCCTCTCTCCCTCTCTCCCCCTCTCTCTCTCTCTCTCTCTCTCCCCCCCTCCCTCCCTCCCCCCCATCTCCCCCTTGCCCCCCCTCCAGCAGCCCCATCCACCTACACGTGCATCTATATCCTCATGTCCAGCTCTGGTCTACCTTTCCCACTAAGGCAGCTTCCCATAATGTCTCTAGGAATTTTACTGACTGTCCTCAAAAAAGGCACTTGTTTGTGGCAAGTGCTGTGATTTTGAGGTTAATGTGTTTTTGGTGGTGGTGGTGTTAATGTTTTTGCTCAAATTGAGAAAGTAATTAAGACCAAAAAAAGATGCAGAAATCTATTATGTTTTCAGTAGTTACAGGAATTTCTTTTCTTGTGTTTTAGACAACAGTTTTCCCATTTGTAGATGCTCTTAAAGGGAGAAACAAGCAGTTTTCAGTCAAAAGTAACATTTTAATTGTTCTTCTTAATGAGGAAGAGAATAAAATAAATACTTTTGCCTTCCATATCTAGGTTTCTATAAATCAGTTCACCCTAAATTTGATAGAGGGGTTCCTTGGGTTTGACATAAGAACATGTTTATGTAAAAATAGCACCTGATGTTTTACAAAAATCACTTTCATGTTATTTAAATGAGAGAGGGGGCCTTTGAAAAGTTTCCACTAATGCCTTTGCTCCTCTGCTGAAGCATGCTGGTAATGGTTTAGCAATCTAAACAGTTGTACGTTGTACAAATTGTTGAACTTACCAAATGGGGGAGGACCTACCAGTTTTCCCAACTTTTTCTTGAACTTAATGGAAAGGTATTTATGTTATAATATTCTTAGGCTTTTTAACTTTAATAAAATATGTTCTAACATTTAATCCATTATTTAATTTTATCTCTATATTATGATTAGATATTTCAAGTTTGCCTTCATTTTCCTGAAAAGTGTTTTTCTCCTCATCCAAAATCAGATAATGTACACTGGGTCTTGGATCTGAGAATAGAAAAGTTCCACTTCTTTCTGCTAGTATGTAAGTTCCACAAGAGCAGGAACCTCATCTGTCTTGTTTGTTATTTCGCTAGAGCCCAGAACATTGCTCAATGTTCTGTTCCAGTACTTGTTCAATGAGTGACTGAAAGAACTGCCTCTTGTGGTTTTGTGATTTTTTTTTTTTTTAAGTTCATTTTGTATGTTAAGTATGACTACGTTGTGAATTGCAGAATGCTGAATAATAAGACTCGGTGAAATAAATGCCTGAGCGATCCACACAGAAATAAGATGACTCAGGGGGTGTTGGTGGGGAATATTCCCTGGAATGACAAACCCACTCAAGTGTTCCCACCTTTTTGCATCTCCCCAGGAGCACTCACTGTGGGCCTTGTGCGACAGTGTCAGACAATCCATGGACGAGACCGGACGTGCATCCCACCTCGGCTTCCCCCAGAGTGGGTCACCACACTGTTTTTTATCATCATGGGAATCATTTCATTGACTGTCACATGTGGTTTGCTGGTGGCTTCCCACTGGCGAAGAGAAGCTACAAAATATGCTCGATGGATAGCCTTCACTGGAAGTAAGTAACCTGTGCTCACCAAATTTGTCTAGAAGGCGCGCACTCTGGTAGTTTAATGAAGATAATCCAGAATCAGTAATAAGGACTCCGTAATCATCAAAGAGCACCCCCACTCTGGCCATCATATAGACTCTGCGCAGCCCCGTCAGTTCTTCAGGATTCTCACCACAAGACCAAGACGTCCGAAACCTTAATTGCTTTGTATAAAATGCTATCTTAATGAATTTTATTTTTGCTCACATTGTAACATAAGTGTTCCAGGTCTGTGGCTCAGAGCTACCCCTAACCCAAGTCTTTTACTCTTCTTAAAGGTATTGGCATCCTCTACCAAATAAAGATAAATCTAGAAGAGAATATACAGAAGTATAAATTAGATCAAGGTGGTGATTTACTTTTCAGTATCATTAATTTGAGTTTCTGCTATGAGTTGTTGTGGGACCATTGAAAAATCAGCACATATGGTTGTTTGATAATTATTCATCGACATTTCTTACTCCATTAAGCTATGCCCCATGGTATGATATATATTATACATTCTCTTGTACTTTGCAAGATTGGTTTAATTTCCCAACACATCACTGGCTTTTCCCAAATTAAAAGCAGCAAAAATGCACAAAGGAAAGATATCTCTGTAATTTTGCCTTCTTGTTTCTTTCTCTGTAAAGTAATTTTGCTCCCCTTCCCCCAGAGGGAGAGGACATTTGTCAATGTCTGGAAACATTTTTGATTGTCACAGTGAAGGGGATCCCACTGATATCTTGATAAGAGGCCAGGGATAGGGTAAAACATCCTGCAAATGTGAGGGACACTCCCCACAACAAAGACTTATCTGGCCCAAAATGGCAATGGAAATGTATTTATATTGTAATATTCTTAGGCTTTTTAACTTTAATAAAAGTTAAAGTTATATAAAGAACAGGATAACTAACGGTACTTATGCCAAATACCATGGGGTTCGACATCTAATTCAATGCCTTATAATTATCTCAGGTCTGCATAAGCTTTAAAAAATGAATATTATAATACAGCTTACTTTCACTTGATATTTTCATTTAGAACTTGTATGGTAGGAGTAAAACACAATCCCGTGTCTCCCCATTAGTGTTAGATTAGAACTCATTTTATCCTTAAAGACCCTAAGATAGGAACATTAGTTCATGAGTCTCCATTTCTTCCCATCTCTCCGTGAAGCGCTTTAATGTGTATGTTTCTGGCTCTGTTTTATTTTTGTCTACATATCTCCCTTAGTTTTAAAACTTATTAGATCAAGTTGCCTTTGACTAAAAAAGTCTTCATTTTTGTTAAGAAATGTGAAATAAGTTGAAGACCTGTTTGAGGTCAAACAGACCTCCTGAGACCATTCTTTTCTATATAGTAGGGTCCACAGGCAGCTGTAGAGACAGTGCTGCTAAATTAAAGGGTATTGATGAAGAATTTAAAGAGAATTGTTACTCACAGATACAATTACTTATCAGGTAGAATTCATTCTTTAAGAAGTAAAATAAAATAAAAAAAAAAGTAAAATAAAATCAAAGAAGGAGTATTTAGTTTATGGATTTTTAACTTTTAAAAAGAATATGTGCATATGGTACATAATTCAAAGGCTAAGAAAGGGTCACTAGGTGAAAAGTAAGTCTTACTTGTGGCTCCATCACCTAGCTACTCAATACCTCTTTGCTGGAAGCAACCATTGTTACCAGTTTCTGGGATTGCCTACCAGAGGTGCCCTGTGGATAGAAACGTATATGTGTGAATGTTCTATAAATAATATTCTGTTTATACTGTTCTGTACCTTGGTTTTTCAGCTCAACAATATCTCCTAGTTAATGTCATCTAAGCCAGCACAGAGCTGCGTTACTCTTGTGTGCTTCCTTCAATAGGTTGTTTTTGTTAACAGAGCTAGTCTGCTGGGGTGGCAGTCTTCAGAGAGATTGAGCTCCCCCTGGTGTTTCCACTCAGCCTTTGAAAATGTACTTTATCTCTATTTTATATATTTCTATTCCACTTAAATTACAGTTTTGGTCAGAATGTCAGGGTAACATTTTCTGACAGGTTTACACAGTGGGGAACTGTCAGAGGAGAGCCGCATATGATGCAGCTTGCCTCTGAGAGCAAGGGTAACAAAGGTGTGTTTTTTTCTTCAAGTCTGACCCCTTATCCTTTCCTCTGCCACTGTAATTTACATTCTCATCTCCAAATACACCCAATATCTAGCTCTCACCACCAAGAAATCTGTGCCATGGAAGATTTGAAGCTATTGTCTTTACAGGCTTATTTAGAACCCAAAATTTAATTGTCAAAAGTTGATAGGTATTATCAGCATTAATATTTTTTTTAATTTTTTTTAACGTTTTTATTTATTTTTGAGACAGAGACAGAGCATGAATGGGGAGGGGCAGAGAGAGAGGGAGACACAGAATCGGAAGCAGGCTCCAGGCTCTGAGCCATCAGCCCAGAGCCGGATGTGGGGCTCGAACTCATGGACCATGAGATCGTGACCTGAGCCGAAGTCGGACGCTCAACCGACTGAGCCACCCAGGCGCCCCATTAATAATTTTTTTTAAGTTTATTTATATTGGGGGAGAGATTGAGAGAGAGAGGCAAAGATG